GGACACTTTGCTCTGTATCTGGAGTGGCGTGACTGGGAGGCATTTCCAGTTGGGACGGTGCATTGATTGGGCCATGGGATGGATGTGTGGGTGCTGGGCAGGGACGTGAACTTTCATTTGTGTGGGGAAAACCTGGAAACTTTCAGATTTGGGTTTTCCCAGATGTGCCAATATGACATCTCTACTAAAATGGAACTTTGAGGAACTTCAAGCCTCTGAGTCTTCTTTCGTTGGGGGGTCTTACTTGAAACCTTGACATTAACAATGGGATGGCTTGTGCTCCATCACTGGAGGCTTTTAAGAAGAGACTGGACAACCACTTGTCTGGAGTGGTATAGGGCTGTGATGGCGAGTCTATGGCATGCATGCCAGAGGGGGCACACAGAGCCCCCTCTGTTGGCACGTGTGCCATTCGCCCCAACTCAGCCAGCTGGACATTGGATTTCTGAGGTGCGTGTGCATGCTGGCCAGCCGGGTGGAGGGTTTCTGGCGCTCTGGCGCACGCATGCGCCTTCCAAATTGGGCATTTTGTGCCTAAAAAGTTCACCATCACTGGTATAGAGTCGACTGTTTGAACATGGAGTTGGACTAGAAGACCTCCAAGGTCCCTTCCAACTCCCTTATCCTGTAATTCTGGAGCTTCTTGGATGTGAAACATTTTCAAAGAAAAAAACCGAGGAAGTCCAGTTGCCTTTTGGAAAAAAAAAACCTTTTGGGACAAGTATATCATATCTAACATGATTTGTAAGCCATAAGCAGAATTGAATGTTTGAAAAAAAATCGGTGCGGCCTTTGAAATGGTAACCCATATTATTGGGTCTCCTCTTGGCTCACCCTAGTTGCAAATTCTATATTTCCAAGATCTGCATCTGCTCAAAATGCCAGATGTAAAGAAAGACCTCCCCCAGTAGAACACGGCTATTCTAAGTTTAGAATATTATGCTGAAGGTTTTCCAAGTCCCAAAGGTGGGTTTTTTTCAAGAGGCAACTGGACTTCCTGTTTTTTTCTTCGAAGACCTTTCGCTTCTCATCCAAGAAGCTTCTTCAGCTCAGAGCCACCTTTGAGATATCCATGAACTGGATGACTGAGAAACTCCATTGGTTTTCCAAGTGCTGATGAACAGTTAATT